CTCACAGAAAAAGACATCCTCTTCATGGAGAAAAATGATATATGCCTTCCAAATAGTCGGGTGCGAGGAGAAATGTAGAGACATCACATCCTCACCGGAATCGATTTATTCAGTTCTCTCGTCTTGGAGCATGTCCCACCTAATGTTATGCCGTCAGGTCTGCGTGAAGCCAAGGCAGTGTTCGGACTAGCAGCATATGGTTGGTTCCAAACTCCTAAGCTATCCAATCAGTCAATCATGTGACACCATCGTAAACGAGTGCATCCCAGACTCGGAGAGATTAAACTACTCTTTGAATAAGAAACTTTAGTCATCTTATCGAGTGAAGGGGCAGGGATGATAGTACATGCGCCTACCAATAGAAGTGTGCTCAGTCGATCCGTATCGAAGAGAATCCTCGGAATTGACGGGCAACCGCAAGTAAGCTTTTAGTAGACTAGTATCACTGACCAAACACCTGAGCGCATTCCCAGAACAGAAGAAATGGTATGCCAAAATCCTGGACCAGTACGCGAAAGATGACGTCATCGGAGAAGTAGTGAACGATGTTCCTGACTCCGTTGGGACATATTACATGCCACAGTAACGCTTGTGGAAGGAAAATAAAACCACCCCACTCCGTATCGTTTTCGATGCTTCCTCTTGTGAACGGGGGCACTTATCACTGAACGATGTTCTCTACGCAGAAGCTTCGTTTTTAGCATAATACATGATATCCTAGTAGCTAGTCGTCAGCCACGTATTATATTGTTGGCGGATATTCAAGCAGCGTTTACGCAGATACACATACAAGAGTATCATCCGATTCTCTTGTATGTGTAGCGATTTACACCGATTTTTGTGGCTGCGTGACGCGAATAAATCGCATATGAACGACAACGTGTTAGAGTATCGCTGGAAAAGAGTACCATTCGGTACTACAGCCCGCCGAGCATTTTGAACATAGTCATATACGCTCACCTTGAGAAGGTCGGTACTTCACTGGCTTACGAAATGTTGCGGTATCGTCACGTTGATAAAGTCTTAATGCCTGCATCCACTGAAGAAGAAGCAACTCAGAAGTACCGAACATCGAAAGGGCACTGACGACTTAAGTGACAGAGAAGGTTTTTACTGCAGGACAATCACGGTCTTGAATTTCTGCTTCTGTTAGTCTGAGAACCTATACCCATCTCCCTGACAGTCTTGAATTCTTTAAGCACAATTCAGTCGAAGCCGGGCTCAGCCGAGATGCAGTTCTCGCAGGGAGGTTCAACAGTGATCCGGTATCTGCTTTCCAAAGGGAAGGATACTTGGTCGCAGTGGCCATTCAAGATAAGATCTATACTGCCGTAGGTGGTTTCAAACGCTGATCTCAAATCTG